CACCCACCCCCAACTCTTGGGCTACTCTTTTACTAACGAATAGTGAGATTGACCGTTACATTATAACGCCCCCACGGCAAGCATGTTTGGTGGGACGGGGTTTAAGGAGGAAACTTAAATAGTTTGTTGTTTGCAATTCGATATGAAACTGTTCAGCAGTTAGAACGTTAACGATGGCTGAAAGAACACGAAGATCCTTTTTTGCCACTTAGCAATTTGATGCAGTCTTCTTCTTCTTGTCCACTACTTAATCACTTCTTCACGAACACTTAGGTGATTTTCAGTGAATAATGCTAGTTATTCACTTGTAAACTAACCTGACAACATTTATAGTTGTAATCAGTTTTGGGATTGCATTTTCATACAAGGGTGTGGATGGTCAGTGCACGTTGTCGTATGTTTTGTGACAGGTTTTTGTTTTTTAAACAATGCAAAAAAATAACAATGACCTCTAAATAGTTGTGAAAAGCTGACAAATGTTTATTTTTTGGATTGCAAACTGTAGTGAGTTTTCGAACTAGTTTACAGTGATGTGTTAGCACTCAGTATGACAATGGCTATCAATAGCTTGTGTTAAATGCTTTTATTACTTCTTAATGTGGTTACCATTAGTGGGTCTGTAAAGGGTATACAATAAATACTTCCGGCTGCACAAGTATTAACGAATTTTATTTTAAAATACTTGAGCTTGGAAAATTTAAGTTTCTTCTAATAATTTTGGAGTTATGTTTTCAACTTAAATACAGTAGTTACCTATTCGACAATTGCTATTACAAACGTTTTAAATCGAACTATTTTAAAACCATGCATCATTAGAAACACGTATATACGAAATATGTGACTATTGATCAGCATTTGATTATGAGAGCAAACAATTATTTTCACATACTACTCATACTGCCTGTACAAGTTTGAATATACATATACAAAGATCACAATTTTCACTTAAATGTAATTTCAGTAATGTTCATCACAGTATAGATACCTGAGGAGCAAAACTGTTGTAATGTGCATTATACTAGTTGACAATATATTTATTTTATTAGTGATGAAATTTTTCTAGTCTTTAAACTTGCTTATTATTTTGCATTCTTCACGAAATGATTTTCAATCTTTTCTGCGCAAGTTATAGTTTATATACACGTATATGGACCGTGGTATAGCTCCAGGTAAGAGATTAAAAATCTTTGACCTTAAGATGTATCAAATTTCTAACAATATTATGTTGGCAGTATGAGGTGAGCTTGTACACGTTGAGTGCTTAAAAGTCAGGTGAACTTCAGCATTACATATAAGAAGTGTTTACTTTCTGTTTCTTATTTTCCTTTCCTCAATGGGTTTTGAAGTATGTAACCAGGCGTTGATGGAACCTTCTGGAATAACTGAATATGCATACAGCTCTAGCAGATTGTACTGTGCCCAGATTTATTGGTTCAGCACAACGACAAATGCTGGGCTGGTGAACTCGTAGCATCTATGTACCATGGCTAATGGTGCAATTACTTGATTGTTCAAAATCTTCCTTCTGAGGAAAGGTTTGGTTGCGACTCACTTATTTTGACATTTCACCCTTTGTCATCAGTTTAACTTTTAACCCACAATTGAGCAGACCAAGACACTAAATTCCATTACAGCTGTAAACTTGAGCCTTCTTGAATTTCAAATCCTGTTTATTAGCTTTGTTAACAGTAACAGGAGTTATGCTGAACTTTCACAGATCAGAAGGTTCTTTTTCATAATTATAACTTTTGTTTTTTGGATGGGGGCATGGTTCCAGACTTGTCTAGAATGTGATTTTGGAATGCAATATTATTCTTAATACATTGCCATAAATGGATATTATCGAAGGCTTCCTAATTCAAAATATTGTGTACTTTGTTTCTACTTCACTTAAAAATCTCACCATGCAAACATCCTTCCTCAGAAAATGTCTACAAGTCTATGCATGGCAGCATTGCACTGTTAAAGAATTTGCCATGAACCAAATATGCAAGTGCTACACAGTGACATCTCACTCCGTAAACACAATTAATCTTATATATTTAAACTTGATATAAACTTTTTTTTTTACTAACAAACTGATTAACATATGCTACTTGTCTACATGACTGACTGTAGTTTAAACTCTTTTAATTGTTTACAAATGTACTCATTACTATTTCAGTTGTTAAACTAATGTTTTTATGTGAAAACAATGCAAAATCAGGTGTAGTGTATTTAGAGGCATAATCTTTTATAATGAAATGTTTGTGTTAGTAATTATATTGTGGTATAAAATTGAATATTATGTTTGAAGATTTCCAACTTCCTACTTGTGTTCAGTTATCTATAAATTTACAATTACAGTATCTTGTGTAAAAAAATTTGGTGGGAACTAAACAGCAGTATGTTTGAGGAGTAATGAATGTACTGTTTGATAATGGTTTTCATTTTCTTAAAAAAATATATCCCAATACCTTGTAATAATTTGCTGTATATCTTATTTTAATACCATAATCTTTATAAGTCAAATGGAGGTTTCCGAGTTATTTCCATCTGTTCTATGTAATAAAACACCCACCACCCTACCTGTAAACGAACAGGAATTTAAATAATATTGGCAACTATCATCCTGTAAAATAGCAGGGTAACATGCACATTGGTGATAAATATCCAACACACTGAAGCTAAACATTATCTTTTTTACACTGAAGCTTAAGTTAACAATAATTTGTACTAGTTGTATATGTATCTACCAATATACAAGAATTTGTACACAAAAAATGGATATTGGAACATTTGCTGGCTAGAAAGTCTTTTGCAGTTTCAAACATTTTTCATTTTTACATGCTACTTAGGAAAAAGTTTTACTTAAGGTTAGTAATAACCATAAGGTTTTTACTTAAGTATGTAATGTTTCAAGAACATCACCTTTTGAATATTAAAAAAGTAATTAAGGAAAAAATCACCTATAGTATTTCGTATAACAATAATTAAACTTTAAAATATAGCTACTTGCAATTCCAGTGTGAAAAATCCAACGTTTTCATCAATAAATAAAATAATTAAACTGGGGGAAAAATACATTATATTTCAATCATTTCACCAAATTAACAGGTAACTACAAAGTCAAGCCTCCAGACAAACTTCTTTTATCAGTCATTGTAGATCTAAAACACGAGTAACATTGTTCTTATTCTTTTTCATGAAAATTTTGGGTACGGCATTAAACAAAAACTATGTGCTTTTATCATATATATATTAACTGCTTATTGAGGCTGGACAAGTCCTACTAGTTACTGTACTCCCAATTGTAGAAGCATTAGAACTGTTACAGTTAATTCTGCTCTTCAGGTAAGAGGAGCCAGGCTGTAGGTTTTGCCGACTGGTTATCCTTTCTGATTAGCAGTTTTATATTAGGGGTGGCTATGCCTGAAACTTAAGTGTCTTTGACCTGGCCATTTAAGCCATGTATTACAAAATGTGCCATTCTGGTTGAAAATACTAAACTTGCACATGTAGTACACAACACATTATTCAATAATTAAATACTATTGATTACAGTTACTGCATTTTATTAACAAATTTTGATAATTTTTTATTATCAATAGATATAATTGATAATAATATTAGTGCTACTTTTATTCTTTGTTAAAATGCTTTTAAGTGTTCTGTGTGACATCCATTTCTTTAATACTATTAATGTGTTTTCAACAGATAGCCACACTTCAAACCAAATCATTGTAACATTTGAACATACTGGTAGAGAAAAAAAATTAGGTGTCCCAAATGATAAAATTGATTTTTTCAACTTTTTATCATTTTTACACCTGATTGACTAAAGTAGACTTATGCTAAATTACAAGTCTTGTACAAAAAACATCAATGAAAAGAACATTGGAAATGAGATATGACATATAGCAGAATACACAACTTTAGCAAGAGATTTAAAAAAATGCAACAAAGCTTAGAACAGAAACATAATAATTTCATTAAACCAAAAGCATTAAATAATTTAATATAATAATATTTACTTGTCAGGCTTTAGGTAATTGAGCACTTTGATCTAAGTTTTAGTTAGAATAAATTGGAGTTACATTAACATAGATCAGTTACGTTTTGTATGATGATACTGAAAGCTCTGTAATAAACCAAATCCAAATGTGATGAAGTAAAGACTGGTTTAGGTTTGTTTCATAATTTTTGTGTAAAACTACAAAAGGCTGTCTGCATATAGATGTCTCATAATTTTGAACAAATACAGAGATGGGCAGCTAGTCAACAGACATACCACCAACTCTTGATCTAGCTTAAATGAGAATTAGGATTTGATCATCATTCTTACAACACATCCACAACTACAAAGTGTAGGCATGCTAATCACTAAACCATGCCCGGCCTGATTGGTTTGGGACTCATGTATTGTAAGTCACGTGTATTTCAACCCACATTATATTAGGAGAGACAATCATTCCTTGATACTCTTTTTGGAGCTGGAATTTTCAAAGGCAGTTAGAGTTGAATTTGGGTTTCTGAAGAAAGTGTAGAAGCCAGTTACTAGAACAAACACATTCCAGACATCTATAAGAGTTATAACTATTCATAATATCATATGATAAGGGATTATTTGAACATTTCATAGTGGCATTTTGTTGATAGCTTATCCCCCCCCCCCACTAATTTTGAGCATTAAAAGCAACATTTAATTTTCAATCAAATATTTTGTCTACTGAATATATTCAACAAAGAATTAGAGTAAATACATTTGGCAACATTATGCAGAGTTACAGTTTCATATGTAACAATCACCGAATAATGAATTACCCACTAAATATTTATCTATAATGTTTATACTTTTGTATTAATAATAATCAAATAGCATGAAACTTAACAATGATCATCAATTTTTTAAATTTATTGTAACAATAGATCTTTAGAATATTTTATCGTATTAAAAAGTTATGCACACACAGAAGTTTCATATAATGCCAAGAGCTCTATTATTGATGTAGTGGCAAACAAACTAAACCTAAGTTTATCTAGATCTTTGATAATTTTATTTTTATTGATAGAATAAATAAGTGGAATTTTTACGTTAATCTCATGTTCGAACCACTAGATGTCAGTAATACTTTTTGTTGATAAGTGCTGAGCTCTGGACTCTTGGGATGTGTTTCAATGTCTTATTTAAGAAACAACACAGATTCCATATATCATCTGTATATATATATATATATTGTATATTTTAGCACCCCATTCTTGTTTGCTGAATACTTAATCTGTTTATTTATTGGTATTACTTCAAGTGAAAAGAAACATAATTATACAATTTTTTTTAACCTGTTTCATACATTCTTGCCTACCTTGTACTGTCCTTATTATTTACAGGTATTAATTTAGGTTAACAAAAACAAATAACTTGGTTTCCATTTATGCTATGAGGTTAAAGTAGACTGCTATAAGAATTGTTCACTCTGCCACTACAAAATTATATTTAGTCCTGATCAGCAGACTAAACCAAATACTCCCAATACCAATGAAAAGCAGGTTCAACCTATACTCATAACTTAGCTGTTAGTTGATCAAATACTGTCCACATTTAATGTGACAAACCGAGGGAATAATATATTCACTAAGCACTGATCAACTAACTCAACAACTTCAGTCAGTACATTACTAGCTCATTCTTGCTTAGCATATAGTAGTTGTGTTTAAAACTACCGATAATGATATCTGATGAAAAATCTTTAATCAGTAACATTTTATTCCAGAAACATCATCTGTATTGTTTGATTGAAATAATATAAACCCAAGCAAAATTTCCTCTGTACGCAAACAATTACAACAGCAATTCTTACAAATAATTAGAAAATAATTTTAAAAAAAAGACTTGATGTGATCCAATTGCTTTAAACATTTTTTAAACTATGGCTTCATAATTTTTGATTAGATGTCCAAATCATAATATAGTTCTGACTCTTTCCTTTGTTATAGCAAGCCTGGAAAAATAATTAATGTAGTAAAACTCATTTATCTAATCAACAACAACAAAAAAGTATGGATCTTGTAAGATTTTTGAAATTTCATATTTACATAGACTACTGTCTTGGCAAGCATACTACATAATTCATTAAGCTGAATGGCATTTTATAAACTCAGCATTAGAGAATACATACATTTAGTATTGTTTTTTAGAGTTTTCATTGTTTACAATGCCAGAAAAACAAATTTTCATTTGACTATCTTAATATTTTTCACTCTTTCGTTCAAGAATTTATTTTTAACATTTTATAGTTTTCCACAACTCTACATTACATGTTTTATCATGATATTTCTGCATCAGGGTATTTGGTGTAGCTTTTCAAATATTATTTGTACATTTAATTACATTCTCTTCAGACAAGAGACAAACATATTTATACATAGCCAAGAAAAGACAACAAACATTATATCACAGAAAGGCATTCAACAATGTGTAACTCAAAATGAAGAAGAGAATACAAAGGAAACATAACCTGAACATCTAATTATATATAGGACATTTCATAAACAGCCATGGTTACACTGTCATCCCTATTGTCATACATTTCTAGTGTTCCAATGAATGTTCTCGTTGTTGACGTTCAAGTTCCTCAACTAAAACAGCTCTCTGAAGGGGAACTGGAGGCATTTCTGGTAACTTTTCCTTCAGCACTTCACTTCCAAACCACTTAGCAAGGTTGGTGTTGAGCTGATGTCCTTGTACTAACTGCTGACCTCTGTTGGAAGGATAACTTCTTAAAGCAACATCTGAAAATAAAAACAGCATATGCATATTACAATTATCTGTTGACCACTTTTAATAGGATAGCACTAAATATATGTCTTAACTTTTTTAACCCGGGCTCGGTCCCTAGGACCGACCTCGTGACCATTTTGTGCTTTTTATAGTTTCAATACTATAACTTTTAAATTAGTAAGCAAATGCTAACGAAATTTGGTACATTATTAGTAAACATTACAATGCTTTCATAAGCAAAATATAAATTTTTTTACTAAGTCTTAAGGTTTGTAAAGCAATGTTTTTCTCATGCTTTTTTTTTCTTTTCGCATGTTGCCTATCTAACATGTAAAGTAATTTTCATTTTAAGATTAAAAATACTTTTATGTATCCAAAAATTTCCAAATTTCACATGAGAAAGCTTTATAATGTCCGGATAGTTAACAAACATTTCTTTAAAAAAACTTTATATTTTATCTGTTATTTTCAGTAATTAATCTCTGTACGGGTTCGGTAAATTTGAACGATCTCGCAACCACCATAAAAAATCAGGAAATAAACATAAATTATGCCTCTTTCATTCTAGAATGAACACAAATTATAACATGAAAACATAAATGTTTAGATAAAATAGCTTAAATCTCATAACATTATACATTTATATATATTTATTATATTGACCTTTCACCCATGCCTGGCTAACAATACAGAAGTTACAATGATGCGGCTCACATGCACCCATGTTACCGTATCATACAACATCAAGATGACCTTTGGTCTGTACAAAGTAACTTGTCTTGACTGTATTTTAACCGACTAGTATTTTGTAAAATACAGTCACATTTCAATTATTATACATTATATTTGTATATACATTATTGCTATTTTGAAATAAGTTCACAAACTTATTTTTCTTAAAACTTAGAACAGTAACTGAAGAAGTAAAGCAAACAATTATCTCTTCTAGTTACGACCTTTGTACTCAGTTGGTGCTTGACATAGGTTGCTAAGCCTTTTAAATATTTGCATGTGGAGGACATGAAACAAAATAATTTTGTAACTAAGATGTATTTTAGTCTAAAAAAAATATGAAATTTTAAGGAGACTAAAGATGTCCTACCTCATTGAAATATTGATGAAAAAGAAAGAAATGGTGCCAAGCCCATGAAAATGGTTAAGAAAGCCACTAGGGGGATATTCATTGTACAGGTCACTGGTTAGGCCATATTTGGAATAGTGTGTTCAGTATTGGACTTCTTACCTTAGGAAAAACATTTAAGTGTTGAAAAGGGTTCAGAGAAGGGTTACTAGAATGGTGCCTGCAATGGAGGGGTTGTCATACGAGGAGAGGCTGAAATCTCTCCAATTGTGTTCTTTTGAAAAAAGAAGAGTTAGGAGAGATCTGATTGAGGTGTTTAAGATTGTAAGGTGTGTTGATAGTGTTGATGTATCATCTTTTTTCATATTTAACAGTGAGAATAGTAGGACTAGGGGACAGAAAATATAAATTTTTGCAAAGTAGGAGTCATCTTCAGCTAAGACAGTTTCATTTTTCTAACAGGATGGTTAGCATTTGGATTGAGTTGCCTTCAGATGTAGAGGCAGTAAATTTAAGTGAGTTTAAGAAAAAGCTTGGTAAGTATATGAATGATAAGGGGTGGCTTTAAGATTTTTTCTTTTTAATTATTTTAATTTAGTTTAGAGGATGGAACAGCTGAGATGGACCAATAGGGTATGTTATACCAGGTCATTTTTTTTTTTAGGTGTTATGGTGACCTGGGTCTTGGTAAGACTTTAGTAACATTTTTTGATAATACTGTGTTTTCACACATTTTGTTATCCGTATTTTTGCGTATTTGTATTGGTTATGTTGGAGATTATGGACCCAAGTCCGTATCCTAGACCACTGAAATATATTTAAAGAGCTTTGGGGAATATAATGTATGACCAGATTAATTTAAACATTTAACACTATCTGTAGATGCTATTTATGATTAAGTATACTAAATGAAGCATTTATTCACAGATATTTTGTATTTTTCGTTCATAATAACTTCATCATGACTTCTAAATGTAAATTATCGGAGTACTATGCATAACTACTAATTCTTTACTTTTAATTGAACTTACACATGAAAAATACTAATAATTATTCATATTAGTGTTTAAACTTTAAAATGAGCAGAGCTAAATGAAATGCTGTAATTTATATAATAGTTATCAAATATATACATATTTTTCATTATTTTGTTTTGTATGTAAGTTAGGACATAAAACAGGATTTTTTACAGAATGATCTTTCTGATGTATTCTTTATATGCACATGTCATAAGTATTCACATCTAGATACTAAAAGTTAATGTTATTTCTTATGAAAAATCTAATACCAATGACAAGGTTCCTTTTCTTTCCAAAATGGAATCAATGTGGAAAAACCAAATACATGCACATAACATGTATATTGTTGTAAGCTGTGTTTTCAGTGTTGTGATTTAGTTGTTTGCTAGAGGGAAGCGCTAATCATTAAGATGATCCTAGATCTAGAAAATTCAAAGTAGTCCTAGAACCTAGAAAGTTCATGATTATATAATATTCTAGAAATTTTGTGGAATTTGGAGAAACAAGAGTACATTATAAATAAGATTAATCAGTATGTGATGTAGTTCAGTGTTTGTAGTGAGAGTTATCATGTGTGTTAAATTCTGTAAATTTATTTGTAATTATAATTAAGGTGTATCATTAGTCTTGGAATTTCTATTTAAACATTGTGAAATTTGGCTACAACTTGTGTCAAAGTAAACACAATCTGTAGCAAATATTAAGTAAAAAATAAATTTTGTTGTTATTACTTGGACTGAACATGGCATTATTTTTACCAAATAATCAAAAAGAACCTGCCCAATGATAAAATATGTTACAATTAGCCTTGGTTTGTCTGGTGTTTTTTGTTTCATTTGATAGTCAAATATACTTTCATACCACCACAGTGATTTTGTTCCATAAGCTTACTGCTGGTGATAATTGTGTTTACCTTTAGCATAGTCAGGATGAAATACTTATTTGTTCATGCTCACAAATTTTCAGGACTGACAAAATGTTCTGATCCCACCCATGCATTGATCACTTGTTAGTTTTATACATTTACTTTTTGCACTTTATTTTTAGTAGATATGTTTTGCTGTATGTTCATATGGGTGTAGAAATGTCTTTTGCAAAACTTGCAAGCTTTGGAAGTATATAATTTAATGCTTTTATTGGCATGGGAATTAAAAATTGAAAGTTTATATTTTCCAACATGAATGATGATTTTTGAAAAAGGTAAGTTCTGTTTGTACTATGTGTTCATCTTTACTTACATGTGCTAACAATTTGAAATAACTATAGTAGAATTGAAATTACATATTGTTACGTTTCCGTTTGTTAATTGATTTTCCGTAACT